GTAGGAAAATTGCACTTTTTTTGTGTGTGTTTAGGCAGCATAACACTCTGAAGGATTTTATGTCTAGACGTGACAAACCTACGCGTATGTACATATGTGGTCATCAAATGTGGTATATCACCATTTATATATGTGTGTTTGTGTATTATATATTTATATATTTATATCAGCATTAAATACCTATCAATATCCTACTTAGAACCAGGCTCTGCAATGAGATGTGGAAGAAGTAACGGAGGAATCCTTTAAGCTGTTTGCAGCTTACTAGGATAATACTTGCTAGATATAAAGCACCTTCCCTATAAGGACTTTGTACTGTCCAAACATGACCATATTATTCTCTTAAATACTATATTACTTGGTGGGTAAGTATCACAAATTACAGATAAGGTTATTGAAACACAGGCAGGCACATGCCTACAAGCTATCCAAGATCAGAAATAAAAGCACAACCATTTATTATAAAGATGTTATAAATTGCAGATGCCTTTGCTTCTCACTAAGACTGCCACCACCTAGCAACAAGTGCTAGATAGGATAAATATCATTAGCAGTTAACAATTTTATGCCTCAAAGTCATCAGGAGCACCGATGTGGAGTCTTGAGGTGTCTGATTGTGCTATTTTAAAATTATCTGCTGTAAACTTTGGGGCTAAGAGTAGTCCCAGTTTTGCCCATGTTGTGTGTATGGATGCATGTGTATGGATGGAAATAATGCGATTTGGGTTGGAGGAAGGGTATAATTAAGCATAGTAGCAATCAAAATAAAAACTAGGGGTCTTGCACAGCAGATACAGAAGCCTCAGGAAATCATTGTAAGTCGCTGTTCCTGTCAAGCGAGGGAACGTGCCTCTTAATTTCCCCTGGCGGAAAACACTTCACCATCAGCAGCCCCAGAGTGACAAAGCAACCAAACCACGGAGTGACTGCCAGAAAATTCCGTTTTCACTGCAGCAGGAGAGACTGGGAGAGGGGGGATATGCTGGAGGAATTTCAAAAGTCAAAAGAAGAAAACTTACCCTGCTCTCTGTTTCATCCCCCTGGTACCCTTGGTGTTCCTGCAAACTCCTGACAGATGGAGGAGCAGTCCAGGCGTAACCCTTTAAGAATTCACTTTGGCCAGAGGGTACCCGACCACTGAATTCTAAAAGAATAATTTATTTTCTTGAATCTGGGTAGTGTGCAGTTCTAGCACAGAATTGAAGGCGGGCACCTCTGTAATGTCTACATGTTTTAAGGGGTAGAAGCAGTTCAGTCAGGTCCTGTGCTGCGTGTTTTAACTGGGAGAAGTGGTAATCACATGGGAAGTTACTGTACAGTTTCTTAAAAGCATTGCCTTTGCTGCTAATACAAAATGATTAGTTTATTGAATTTTTTTCCCACTTTATTGTGGTATAAATGCTAAAACTTAACAACGTAAAGTTGTGGTAAATTGTCAAGTTTCTGAACTGATCACAATTTGCTTTACACAGAGCCCAAATGACCCATCATCTTAGAAGATATTTATGGCAATTGTTATCATTAGATTAACATATACAAATTACTGGGTCACTTTTTCCTATTTATAAACCAAAACTAGCACAAGATGAAGTTTTTTTTTTCTTTTTTACTTTTTTTTTATGCTCACTGCATATTTGTGGAACCTTTGCACCAAGTATTTTTCCCAAAATAAAAGTAAAGAATAATATTCCAAATCAGAGAGGCAGAGATTGATAGTGTATATGTAAGTAGGCTACCTCTGGTAAATATGTTAGTATTGTAACTTTTCATATAAGTGTATTACAATGGAGCAGGTTCATATTACACWGAAATTACAGTCATATCGAGGACTGTATAATTCGCATTTCAGTCTAAATGGTTCCAGTTCTCATGTTGCAAGGATAATTTTCCGACTGCGAGCTGGGTGCCAGCTGATGCTGTGATGTCTGTTCAAGTGGCCAGGCAGCCTGGAACTGGAGCCTGCAGTTTTCAATGTCTCCATTTCGGTGGGGATCAGACTCTGCAGACCGAGTGTGTCTGCTCCAATGACATGCAAGGAAAATTAAGATTTCCAGACAGTATGTTTGCTTTTGTGTCTTGTTGAATATTTTGATGTGTAGGGGAATAGTCTGTTAGTCTGGAATAACTCAGAGCTTCCAAGAGTTGCTCAAGTGATGCTGCTGATGAAATCTCTTTCTTGAACTTCCCAGTGCTTCACAAGACTGAAGGTTTTTCTGTCATATAGTTGGGTGGTCATCTGTTATAACAGGCATGCCCTTCACTTTCATTGTGTGTGCTGGACATCTGTCAGTCACTTGGCTAGCAGAGGACCAGAGGACCCTTGAGAAACGTCATAACAAGAAGTAGGCCCAAGCAAAAGGGTTATTCTGGCAGGCCTTGGCTGAGCACCTACGAGATCCAGACCCTGCAGGCCAGAGAGTGATTGCAGGGGTGCTTGGTGCTTCGTGATGTTTGCCCTGCAGGATGTATAATACTTCCATACGCATATTTTTTATATACAGGGATGTTCACTACTCAGGTATGTGTAAGARGTGTGCATCTGTGTACCAAACAGAGTTTGGAGCATTGGCATTTTGATATGAATTTAGGTTTTTGTGTTAAACATAATTCTCCATGTTCAAAGTCTGCAGATGCAGCTCCTGACCAGCAATGAAATTATGATTTCCATTTAGGTATGTGGAGCCAAGCTACTGTCGGAGAGCTCTCTCTTATGCATTAAGTTCCTGCTTGATGTAATGGATTTTTCCTCACTTGGCTTCAGAGATGTCAGTGATTTGGGGAAGTTAAGGAATSATAAAACTAGGTGCCTACAGGTAGAAGGAGCTTAGCAAGACTTACTGGCTCTAGGGAAGAAGGGGAAAAAAAGAGGGGGAAAAAAAAGCTACCTTCCTCTTCAGACATATTGAGGAAGGTARCGCATTTGAAAAGCAACTTACAGGCTGTGGTACCTTCCCAGATTTTAGAATCCATCCCAATAATCCTGTAAAAAATAACTGAATTTAGATAAAGGAGTCATACTGGGTTTTAGCTGTAATACTTTGGTTTGACTCTACAGTGTAAGCTGTAGCGTTTTTCACTTGTGGAATCTGGCTTTTAGTAGCAGACACTTTTAAATATCTGCAATAAAATTATTTACTAGTAAATAAATATGAAAATCATTTCCCTACAGCTGGGAGGTTATTGTGGTCATAGTTGTTTTACCTTACTTTTTCATAGCAGTTACATGATTCAGTGCTATTTAATTAAACAATATAGAATTTCTGCAGGGATGGGATTTTGAAGTCCTTAAARATATTAGCGCCTGTATTTCTGTATTGGTTAAGAAGGAAGGAGCAAGTAATGCMGTGAAAATGAGTCTGAAAGACCTAATTTTAGGCTACTGTTTTGGTGTGTACTGCTTGTCCTGGGAACATAAGAAGCAGGGAAGAATATGGTTGGAGAAATTTGAGGAATATAGTGGGCTTATCCTGGTGAGACTGATGCRGAGCAGGGATCTCTTCCACCTCCTACGGTGTCCCACATCATTCTGTATCACTCCTTTGAAGAAGTCGAGATGTGCCTTTAATGTTATCCGAGTCAGAGATGAACCSAAGAATAAGGATGAAATACTTTTACTCCAGAATTTCTCTATGCTTTAAGCATGCCTACGTTCAGTGTTAATAATCAGGCTCCTCATTTAACTCGGTTTACTTCTGTTCATTGTAACCAGTCATAAATTCTTTCCAATTCCATGTATGCTGCTATGCTAGAAAAATGATGCCTGTCGTTTATGATCTTAGCGCCTTCAATAGCCCAAGTAGTTCATGCGAGAAACACTTTTACACAGCTGTTCTGCCTGCAAAATAGCTCCAGCAATGCAGATAGGAGGTTTCATATTTGTGTCTCACACAATGTGAGAGTTGGAATGCAATTTTTGAGCTGTTTTAAGTGCATCAATCCCAGCAGCAATGGTTTAGCAGGCCAGGTTGTCCTGCCGGTGGTGCTTGTTACTGACCCTTGAGTCTTTGGTGAGTTTTCCCAGATAGATCTGCCTCGAATTTGCTCAAATGTTTTGTTTGCTGATGCACAAGGAAGGAATACAATCCCCTCACTTTTTCCCTTACTGCTGTTGCCCGATGCTCTTCCAAGAGGATGRAAAAGAAATAAAAAGACTATTCCGAACAACTCTGTGGACAGACTCCTAAAAGGGCAGGTTTAAATAGTCATGTTTAGGGATTCTGCCTACGCTGTGTTTTCCATTTCAATGTGATAACCAGGATTTACTACCTCACATGGATGCTTTTTAGAAATCAGAAATATCAACTTCCGTTAAACACACACACAAAAAAAATGTTATCAAGTTGCATTCGATTTACAGCTCCCTTAAATCTTTYAGTCTTAGCTGCCATAACACTGCACATGCAGACTTTTAGTCTGCATATTGTGCAAAAGGGTGGGTTAGTCCAAGGCAGAGGTCTAAGAGTGAAAACCCATCCAGTTCTGTGAAGGTGTCACCWGGCATCCACCATCAATATCTTGCAAAATGTGACTTCAGTGACAGTTCTTGACTCCAGCAGTGTGATATTTATGAGATAGCCTAAGAGAAAAACAAACAAATTCAATGATGGAACAGTTGGAGGCCAAAGTTTTTAAGAGGTTGAGTGTGATCTGTTAAAATATTCAGAATTCTTGGAGAGATCCTTTCCTACTTCTTAGCAGGTGTTATCACATTAAGTTCAGTTTATAACTTTGTAATTTTTATGTGGGTAGATGGCAACAATCTAATTCCTGAATTTGCTTTCTGCGGATCCTTTATGACAAAATGTGATGTTATCCTAGCAGTACCACAGACCAGATTGTAATAATGTCAGCAGAAATGTATAATGTGATCTTTGCTAATAGCCTATCCTGTAGCTCATGAATATTTGGCATTTTCTTCTCACTCACTTCAGAGCTGAAAGAGAATTTTCTCATTTTAGCTTGTCATTTATGGTGCTGATTCATTCTTTTATGCCTTTTAGCTTGCTACTTTAGAATTCCCTCCAAAGAAGCTCTTTGGCAACAAGGATGAACGAGTGATTGCAGAACGACGGAGTCACTTAGAGGTAATGGTAACTTCAAATAAATAAATAACTAAAATGAAGCGTGTTCAGAGAGAATTCTCTGCACTTGACCAATAGAAACCATTCCCATATGGTCCCAGTTAAATAGCCTGCTTGTAAGTATGAAGTTACTTGCTGCTTCATTTAACACAGGAGATGGCAGCAGTAGATTGCAAAGTAATGAAACATGACTTGAAAAAAAATCTTGCTCTAGGAAAAAAAGCATCTCTTTAGAGATGTTCATAGGCGGTACATTTATTTAAGGGGGAAAGGTTGGGAATGAGGTAAGTGTTCGCTCTAGACAGATGGTCTCGATGCAAGACAAGGTTTAAAAAACTTGCTGCTTTAAATGCAATGTTATCTGAAGATTTACTATTCTATCATAGTTATTATATCCACATATCTCATGACAGAAGGGAAGTGATATGTAGGCATCTTTGAGCTTTATTTTTTTAACCCAGCTTTCTGAGTATATTTTTTTGCTTCTTTGCAGTAGTTTAGAAAAAAAGTTTTATTAGAGATGCCGCAGTTTTTTTTCCTTTGTTCTGTAGCACTCTGTTGATGGCACAGTCTTGGCTCCTGTCATACTTTAGGGCTTTTTATTTTGATCTTAATGCATTTGGGAAAGAAGGAGCAGTGGGAAAGAGAGAGACTAACACATACACTGTGCAGCTACACAAGGGTTACCTGACTGTGCAAGCCATAAAGAATTTCACCCTTTGTAGAGCTAGAGTAGCATTAAGTAGAGCTTTAAAGAAATAAATATAAAAGGAGATTGCTTACAACTGTAATCTTTTTCTGTCTGTCTTTTTGATTTTTTTTTCTGTGTACTTCACCTTTTCTGTGATCCACAAACAAAATATATCCTCCCAGTGACTTTTGATGTGGAGCTGTCTTCCTTTTGGCACAGAATGTAATCTGCTTTCTGTTTCATGTTCCTCATCTAGGGGGATTGAATAATTTCTCTTGGTGAAGGTATAATTGCATTTCATTTCGCTACTCAGTTTGTATGCGTTTATTCCAGGAAGGAATTAAGGAATGAAACCGCTTTATCTTCCTGACTTTTCATTGGTTTTATTAACAGATTTTTTTGCAATGTTAGAATTGCTGTGTATAGGGATGCTTTAGTTATGGTTGTACAGTATTTATGGCTTTTTTGTTGTTGTTTTTGGATGTTTACATACATGTATTTCACCACGTGCCAGGTAGTAAACTTGTCCATGACAGTTAGTAATGTTGGCTAAGCACTCAATGCTAGGAAACTGAAGATCCCTCAAGGGTCAAGGGGAAGTCAGATGAGGGAGTCAAGYAGATGTCACCAACCTGATGATGATATCGGGTTATATCAGATAATGATGTAGCAAACTTGTCATCAAAGAAAAATTTTAACCTGGACTGCTAATTATAGGTTGGTCTTCTCACTGTGTATTTTGTGGCTCTCACTTCTGGGTAGGTGCTGTAGGCCAACACGGCTAGAGGTCTTCAGCTAATAAAGCTTAATTTTAACCTTGGCAGAGGAGAAGCCACCTAAGCACGGATGGTTTCCAAAGTCATATGATGTCATTTGAATCTTCAGAGCTCCTTGACTTATAGTGTGAAGCTATTTCCCACAGAGAATGTGGGAGAGTGGAACATGGTACCACTTCTATTTAGAAGTCTGCCTGCTGCATTCTCAAAGTTTTCAGCCTGAAACCTTCCTACAGGTTTAGGAAATTAGACCTTTGTAATTAGTAGAAACATGACTTGGGTTGCTCGTAACAAACTCTTGGCCTCCCTCTGTTCAGTTGRCTTTAGTGCCTGGTCCTCTACCTTCATTTGCTGAATCAAGAGACAGCGTGAGGGGAAAAAAAGGTAAAAGAAATGGCCATAAACATAAAACCTGGCAGTCTCTTTTAAGTTTCAGAGGCTATATGTTGTTATAGTAATAGTATAGTGTGAAAGCGTATTTGGTCGTCTCACATGGTTAGTCAAGAGCTGATGCAGTATTTTTTAAAAAAGCAAAGCTCACCTTCCAGCAATACGAAAATGTATATTCTTATCCAAAGTCTTTGCTGACTTTAATGACTAAAAGTAGATGACAAACTGACAAATGTCAGTCTGATAAAAAAGTTCGGGAGGAATATTCCATATTGGGAAATCATTAGTAGGGCTGCAGTAAGGGTTTCCTTTTGGTGGATGACCAAGAAAGAAATTACTCTCCTTATTTTTTTTTTCTTTTTTGTATTAGATACTTGCATTATATCTTTATAAATCTTTACTTGAATTCTTTTAATTGGAGTGGGGTAGTACAACTTTGACTTCCACAGATCATCAGTGAACAACAGCAGCTCCTTTTAATTTATACTTCTCTTTTTGAAGTATGCATGCAAGGCTAAATTAAAATTCAAGTTCATTATCCACCTATAAGGCAAGTTAAGCTATCATTTCAGTGAAACAGCCTGACTAAAATATTTTCTGAAATTACTARAGAACCCATGAGGCCATTTCAGTAACCAGTTGCTAATTCCAGAAGATACTTTAGTCAAACTCTTTGAATGAAAATCACCATAACTAAATTGGAATTCTCAGTCTGATCTGGAAAAAATGAAGCATTTACACTGAAAGTTACTGTAGGAGCTAAACTTCCTACTTTTCAGTTTCAAAATTAACTAAAATTATTCTAATAAGCAGAGAGCTGGTGCTGTTGCAGAAAAATAAACACTTATTTTAATTGACTCACTTTGAGTTTAGTCAGGGAAAATTTTATTGTGTCTAGTTCTAAAATGATCTATCAATTCATCCTTTGCAGGAATCWGGGCAGCGTAGGAATATTTTGAGATACATGTATATGTTTATTTTATATATGAACATATCTATGTGTATATGTAAAAATAATACCTCACCTCTTAGATTCCAACAAAAAGAGCAGAAGGACTGAAAATAGCATGAGGATTTTTGTGGCGCTGTTCAGTGTAACTGATTAGGGAGATGAGGAGGGAGATTGTTTTTAAAATCATCATGTAAAACATCCTCCTTTCAGGTAAAGATGTGGGAGTATTGTTTGAACACAACGGGAATGAAACTACCTTGAGTAAAAGACTGCAGCAAGCCCCAAATTCTGATTTTGAAATCAAAATAAGTGGGAAGTTCATAAAAATATTAAACTGCATCCCTCTCTCCTTCCCGGTACAAATGCTGAATAATCAGAAGCTTTGAAGGCTTCACAGTGCATCATTGGGAGGAAAACACAGTGTGTACTTCTCTGTGTACGTGTGAGATTAATCTGAAGAGAAGTCTTCTGATCTCTAGTGTGAAAAGTGCTTGTAAATGGACCACTTTTGCTTTGGGATTTCTTTGTGTACTACAAAGTCATTTGACCAAGATCTTAAATTTCCTTCAAGATTTGAAACATATCAGACCCCTTTGCACAAAGGATTTGCCTGTACCTCTTAAGAGAAAGCACATAAATTGAAGTCAAAATTACCTATTCTAAATGCCCTATCTATTGCAGTCTGTTAACTTAGTATTTCATCAGGGACCTGTTGCAGGGCAAAACTCTAAATTAATTGTTCTGCAGTCTAAAGCCTGTAATTTCACTTCAGAGCCAATTTTGCTTGATTAAATCTGCCTTAAATGAGACAGCCAAGAATTCATTTGGCTAAAGTTAGTGAAAGGATGTTAGCCTGTGTATGTCCTTTCATGCAATTGGAAACCTATAAGTAAGGATATACAGCCCCATTACCTGTATCCCATTCCTTTTTTTCTAGGGCTCCATTTCCTCAGGTCTGTTAGTGGAGAGCAAAGGGCAAAATAATAAATAAATAAATAAATAAATAAATATGAATTAAGAAAAAAGAAAAAAAGCAAGAACACATGAACACACCAACAGACATTACAACACTTGCTAGGAATCACATGTGTTTCCTTTTGCAGCTCTTTATAGAGGTAAGGGAATGAAAGAATGCCAGAACTATAATAGTATAATATATATACTCTGAACCTGCTTAAAAGATAGGCAAGCTCAATTCATTTAAAATGAATAACACAATTGTGCTTAACCTCCTAACTTCTTGGTGTCTGCTGATGAGATTTTCAATTATAGGTACTAATGTGAGAGGCAGAAATAAATCTTGTATGAACTGCATGGTTAAATCATTCTGTCAGTTCTGCAGAATTGTCTTGTGAAAGTGCTAGAGAGCCTGAAATGACAGCATAGAAATATTGCTGTTACTCATAATCAAAACCAAGCTCCCAAAAATATATGTGTGGGTGTGCGCATATATATATATATATGTCTGTGTGTATACATATATGTGTATATACACATCTGTGAAGTTAGCATTTTTCTCTTTAAAAATGATATTCTGCTATTTTTACATGACTCCGAGAATTTGCTTCATCATGACAAAATGAAATAATGGAACTAGCCTATTTCATTAAACTTGAAGTTATTATTGGTATTTAGGTGGTATTAATAGTTTTAAAAGTAACACCCCATTGGCAACTAGGAGATGAGGCATCTGAGAGACCATCTCAAAATATTTTTCCACAAATGTGGACAGACTGAATGTTTTCAAGTCTGATSAATTTCTTGAGCATTATCTTGAAGTCATGAGGGGAAAAAATATTTTTAAAAAAAAAAAAAATTTTTTTAATTAAATTTGAGATTGTTCCGCATGGACTTCGTAAGTTCATCCAGTTGGTCTTTCTTCACAGCCCATCCCTTAATCCATTTAATGAAGACAATCTGCTTCATGCTAGTTACAGATGAATTGATGCTTCTATTGCAATAAAAAAAATAAAATTACAAGTGGGTCAGGAAGAGTTACTATTTGTGGCTGTTTTCTTTTCCTGTCACTGAAGCCAGTCACAAAGACCTTTCAAAGCTGCTGATAACGTGTCAGTTCAAAGTGCTTATTAAAAAGAAATTATTAGACTCCAGTATCAACTTACAATAACATCCCTAATACCAAAGTTTTTTAAGAGCTTTAAAGCCAGCTGCTCACTAGGCTGGTGCTTGCAGA